CCTAACGGTCATCAAGCGCCTCGGGAATTTACAGAAATTTCTAGCGGTTCATGTAACAACCGCTAGTAATTTCTAGCGGTTTTTACATGAACTGCTAGCAATTTCTAGCGGTTTCTAGATGAATCGCTAGAAATTTCTAAACTCCTCGGGAAATTAAAACCTTTTTAGCGGTTCATGTATCAACCGCTAGAAATTTTCAGTATCTAGCGGTTTATTGGCCTGAACCACTAGAAAATAAACGCTACAATTTTGGCGCCAAGTTCTCGCCAAAACCCGGAAAATTTTCTAGCTCTGAATTTCTAGTGGTTAGGTGATAACCGCTAGAAATATGCGGGCAATGGTCAAACCGTCTGTAATTTGTAGCGGTTTTTCTAAAAACCGCTAGAAATGTTGGAATTTCTAGCGGTTTTGTTGAACCGCTAGAAATGTTCCGCTGCTAATTCAACATTTTCTTGTAGTGTTAGCACGAAGTATTAAAAGTTAAAAGTAAGGATTGTCATTGGAATTGAAAAATATGTTAAACAAGTGTTTAATATAAGAAATTACTTATTACTTGGAATTAGACAAACTTATATATACGGATTGAGAAATACCATGGGAGGATACAGTATTCCTAAATCCCACCTACATAGGATTGCCTAATCCCATGTGATAAAAAATTACTCATACTAAACATTCTTTAATGATTTTTCTCAATTTTAATCTCAATTTTTACCTCGCGTTCTCAATACTTTGTACCAAAGGAGAACAAAATTTTTTCTAATAGAAAGATACCTGTGCCTAAAAAAAAACTACTAAAATCAAATGGTTCAAAATGTTAGCTAAATTTAGCTAAAAATAATAAATGTGTAAGATATATACATATGTTTCCGATTGTATACTCTTGTCTGTACAAAGAGTATATGAGAAATAATGAGTGAAAATTTATTAGAGAGAGGTAATGAATGACATATATTTAATTGAGATAAAAGTTAATTAAACGACTAATTTAAAATTTTAGACAAAGATAATTTGTTCATGATATATAAGGACATCACTATGAGAGAGATTATTTCTTATAAAAAGGAAAGGACGGAGTATGTATTTCGCTATTTCTTATTCTATTTCTTTCAAAGTATTTTCCACGTACTAAACTCTTCTGATCATTAATATAAGACTTACTTAACTAATTTAAATAGATTAAAAACATTATTTAAATAAGTTAATATGATATATGTTTTTTTTAAATACCCTAATTATTTTTCTTAATTTTCTTCCTCCCCTCCTACTTGATTATTGTGGAGGGAATATCAAGAGAATTAATTCTGCTTGTGGGAGACTGAAAGGCGAGGAGTAAGCTAGAAGATAATGAAGGCACCGTTTGGGTGACACCCCAAACCGTGGTTTGGGTGATAAGTCACCCAAACACCCACCCAATTTGCACAAACCGTGATTTTGGACTAAAACTATGGTTTTGGCTCCAAAACCATGGTTTTGGAAAAAGTAAAAAAATTTTGTTTTTGGAGAAAAAAGAGAGAGTGTGAGAGCCTATAGGATATGTATCTTGTTATTTTTTTTTATAAACATATTTTTTTATAAACATATTTAATCTTATATTTTATAAATATATATACATATTAATTAATTATTAATTATATTATCTTATGTATTATTAATTATGTTAATAAAAAATATATTATTAACAATTTTATTCCTTTAAATTAAAATATATCATAAAATCTATTTTTTCTGTAATTATCATATTAACTTATGTCTTTGTTTTAGTAATTTGTATATATAAAAAGTGCTTCTAATAACAACTATTCAAACACTCTCACTTCTCAAAATCACTTTTTCATAACATTTATTTTTTTCAGAATCTATTCTTCTCAGGATCTATTCTCCAGAATTATTTTTTCAATCTATGGTTTGGTTTCATCTAAATACATCTGAAGTGGGATAAGCTGTATACAAAGAAAGAAAAATAAGAATGGAGAGCACGAGAGGTGCAAGAAGCAACTGAGAAAACAAGAGTGATGATCAGTGTTTTCAAAAATCAAAATGCAAAGTCTGAATCTTCTGGTGCATGTGTACATTATTCAAGGGAGAGAGAGAGAAACGGGTCCGGATTGTCTCGGCGTCTTTTTTCTCAGCATCCCTCAGAAGCCTAAAATCTTGACCGTCCAAATGATCTAAAGGCCCATTGTGTATCATCCATTCATCCTCAACCTATGACTTCTCTCTCCTCTTCCTACTCCCTCTCCCTCCCAACTAGCTGTTGTGGCCTGCCCTTCACGCTTCCCGCCTATCACTGCAATCGCCTCCTTGGCTCCTTCCACTACCATGCTTTCCATATCAAATATTTTTTTTAAAAGAAAAATTAATATTAATGATTAAAGATTCATCAAAATCAAAATATCTGCAGTTTGATTGTGGTTGGGACCTAGGACCTGTAACTTTCCTCTTCCAATTCGATTATGAGAATGACGTGAAAGATGAAGAATGGGATAGACAGAATAGCTTCATGCATTTTGGATTCATGGTTATTAAGCAACTCAAGCGTAAATTACAAATTTTAAACAAAACATCACTCAACTCTCTCCCTTGGCCATTTAAAATGAAGATGTTAGAGGCAGATAAATATAAGAAATGCTCAATGCTCATATTTATGACTGGCACCAGAACAAAATGTGGCGATCAACGAGGTATTGGTGCAGAGCTCACTGTCCACCCAGTGAGTGAAGGTTTCACAACACCACCAAAGGGTCGGAACCCAACATTATGTCTTGAAATTTATGGTCCATTTGACACAAGGTCGAACACCAGCACCCATTTTGGCATATTGAACCTGAAATAGTCTACCTTCTTGCCTGACAGACTCGCGTCGCCTTCACACTCTCAAAACAGATCTCACACTTTGGCTGCCTCCGTCTTGGTCTTAACTTTCTTTCTTCGTTTTGCTTGCCCTCTTGCCCAAAAAATGATTGTTAACCAGTAGTAGTCCAATACCAGTTCTTGGGAGTCGAAAGAGGAGAGAGAAGCAAAAGGTTGAAGATGGTTGACTATGAGCCTTTGGATTATTTGGACGGCAAGAATTTCAGGATTCTGAGGGATTCTGAGAAATAAGACGCTGAGAGGATCTACTTCCGAGAGAAACAATGAAAGAAAAAGCTGACTTGGTATGCGTGTTGTGGTGGGAAATGGCAGTAGCATCACGTGAGGTGAGAAGAAAGAGGTAAAATAATAAAAAGATGGGGATTTTAATAGGTAAGAAGAAAAGGAGAAGGGATAAAATAGAATAAAAAAATAAAAAATTATATTATTTTAATAAGTACTAGTTTGATCACAGTTAGATTCCGATTTGACCCATTAACTCTTAAACCACTATATTAACCGGTTTAGTATTGTATCTGGTTTTTTGTTCTTTGCATATTAGACTAATATCAACTTTTAAAGTAAGTCCTATATCAAGTACTGAAATACATAGATTATTAAATGACAAATGAATCTAGTCAACAAACTTAGGGGGTGTTTGGATGAAATCAAACTATGGTTTGGAGAATAGATTCTGGGAAGAATAGATTCTGTGAAGAATAGATTTTGTAAAAAAGTGATTCTAAAAAGTGAGAGTGTTTGAATAGTTGTTATCAGAAGCACTTTTTATATATACAAATTACTAAAGAAAAGACATAAGTTAATATGATAATTACAGAAAATTAGATTTTATGATATATTTTAATTTGAAGGAATAAAATTGTTAATTATATTTTTTTACCAACATAATTAATAATACATAAGATAATATAATTAATAAATAATTAATATGTATATATATTTATAAAATATAAGATTAAATATGTTTATAAAAAAAATAACAAGATACATATCCTATAGGCTCTTATACTCTCCCTTTTTTCTCTAAAAGCAAAATTTTTTTGCTTTTTTCAAAACCATGGTTTTGGCTTTTGGGTGGGTGTTTGGGTGATTTATTTTCCAAACCATGGTTTGGGGTGTTACCCAAACACAGCCTTAGTCTTACTGGTAAAAATGTAGACGATAACTCATGATAGGACCATGGGTTCTGGCCCTATTGACTACTCTCCCGGTCCTAAATATAAAATCTTTATATGTATAAGACCCTTCTACATAAAAGGATCTTATATTTAGGATCGGAGGATTTTTTTTTTTTTTTTACCTGAAGCCCTGTTGACTATTTGAGACTTGCTCATATTAACTTTATTCAGTTATAAATAACAAATGAGTCTGAATATTTTTACTATTAATTTACAAATAATCTTAATTTCAACTAGGATTCAAGAAAGAAAAAATCTAGGGCTAGTTTTGCTACTCATCATTTTAAAATAAGATCACGTAGGTATTAATTTTGTTCATAAAGTTTGAATATAATTATTTATCTTAACCTTTTGTCTTATAATATGGTTCATGTGCATTACATAGAGTATGGGATAAACTACATTTTTCTTAATTACCTGGATCATGAATATGTAGAGTTTTATTTTATATTACATAGAGATATATTATATATATATTTGTAATAAAAATCATACATCTCAAAACCTTTATTATTATTAGTATTATCTATATATATATCTACAACATTATTTTCCTCAGATAATATTATTAATATATATAATAAACTCTGTAGAAAATCATACTAATTCATAAACACGGTACAAAGTTCTGAGCCTACAGTCTACGAGTAATTCTTTCCAAGCATTTGAAAACTAAAAACTTTCCTGTATTCTTTCTAACTTTTTTAATATTTTTTGTATGGTTAATATATAATAAGTATATATTCTCATTGATATGTATTGACCAACTTATGCTAGTACATATTACAAAATTGCCTTAAAAATTATTGGTAATAAAAACCAAACCTAAAAATTCAAAATTATAATTATAATTATATATATAAGTTTATATTTTCATTATTTTACAAAATATTTTGGGCCCCTCCTCTTCTGATCTCATCCTAGTTCCGCCATCACTTGCCCCTCTTTCATTCTTCATCGCTTCTGTAAAGTAAGAAAAAAACAGCATGCAGCCTCAACTACCGCAACAAAAGCCTCTGTTCTTCTTCTTATTGAGCTTCATAATCTGGTCATGGTGGACTCTTAACGACGTCGTTTCGGACCCTCAGACGAATCTAGTGCGACTATGGTGTGACCCCCAAGACGGTGACAACGATGGGTCCATCATGAAGGAGATCCTGAACGAAACGTTTGGAGATCTGAGATCTCAGATCCAAAACCAAAACAAACACTTCGCCATAGCTCAATCAGTGAAGGCTAACATCCCCGTTTATGGCCTTTTTCAGTGCAGAAACTACCTCTCCGTTGCCGATTGCCTCGCTTGCTTTGACGTCGCCGCCGTAAACATCCGCAACTGCTCCGCCAGGGCATACGCTGCTCGTCTTGTCTACGACGGCTGCTTCCTCAGGTACAACTAGCTACTCCCCCAACCTCAAGTTGGACTTTTCCTTTTCTTTCTCTGTCTTCTCCCCCCCCCCCCGGGGATAAATATTGTGAGTTGTGATATTACTGTGTTTGCGCTTTTTGCGTTAAAAGTTAGAACAGCAGAGAGTAGAGAGGGTAGAGACAAAGGAGAAAACGAGAAACTAATTAATTTCTCTGTGATGTATATATGATTCTGTAATTACAATATATACCATGATATGAAATAATAATAATTTCAAATACTACCTCCAGTTCCAAAAGCTAAATAAAGGTTGAATTTGATTATAAATATAAAAATTATAATCTAATTTATCTTTTGTATTTATCATTTTTTGTTAAACTAATTTACCTAACTTATATAGATTAATATATAATCTAATGTTATAGAAGTATTTTAGGAAGATTATCTCATATTGGTTATCATTAACTAGTCTATTTAACTTTTTTAACCAACTCAAATTAATTAAGCATTTCTTATACTAAAGGGACTGAAGGGAGTATTATAATTTTAATGACGAAGTAACATTTCTTTTGTGACTAAACTTACGTTGTATGATCATTAAATGTACGTTGTACTTTTTTCTATAAAATTTTTGTACAATACATGAATATTTAAAAAAAAAAAAAAGTATTTATATTGTTCTTAAAGAAACAAATCCATTTCAATTTGATAATAACCTTCAAGAGGCGTGTAGCCTTCGCACTTAATGAGTTGTAGAGGTTTGAGGCACCTCTATTGGTGGTGGATACTTATTTGAGAGACTTAGTGGGTGGTTTTTGTCCACGTTTTTGTTTTGTTAATGAACAAAGGTTTATAGGGTGTTTTTCCCTATTTCTTACCCAAGAAAAAAAAAATTCTTCTTTAAAAGCCGTAGGCCGCAAGTAAATTTCAAGAAACCCACTTTATCCATTCACTTTTTAATCAAAAACTGGTAATAATTATATGACACTTCAAAAAAAAATTGGTGAAGGAACTTTACTCCATCACTAATTCACTGTTTTTTTTTAAGCTTCTAAATAAAAAAAAATGAATTCACTTTTTAGACAAATGTATAAATTATACAGAGCACCCACCCTGTCCCAAATTACAAGTTAAATAGGATCGGAGGCAGTAGAAATGAGATGGCCGAACTAATTTACATCTTTTAGAAACTTACTCATTTGTTACTTTGATGTGTGTTTAAAATGAAGGTATGAGAGCAGTCAAAGCTTCGACTGGGCCACCGATAGTTGGAACAACATAGTATGTGGGAATCAGACAATAAAAGATTCGCCTGCTCTTGCTTCAACTGTGCAACAAGTGCTAAGGAATCTAGGCATAGCAACCCCAAGAATCCCTGGTTCCTATGTGGCCACTAAGACGCCTGTCCCTGACAGTAATGATCTGAATATTTATGGCTTGGCTCAATGTGTTGACACTGTCCCTACAAAATGGGTGCCGGACTTGTATTAACATTGCTTTAGACACTTTCAGAATTGCCTTACCAACACAGATGCCAAGAGTTACGACATTGGCTGTTTCGTGAGATACTCCACCACTGCCTTCTTTGCTTTTAATCAAACCATTGATATCAACCCCTTCTTGAAACAAGGTAAAGTTATAATCTTCAAATGCATAATTATTGTATATATACATATTTGCTTTGACATGTGAAATTTTAATAAGTCCCAGGCTAGCATATAAATATATATGATTATAGGGAGTATCCATAGACTTCAAATGGCATCGTTGTACTTAGAGCTTGATTAGAAAAATTTCCTGCCCTGCAGGTTCAAGCAATAAAGGGGCCATCATTGGCATTGTTATTGGATGTCTAGTGCTTTTCTTTATCTTCCTTATTGCATTATTTGCCTGGATGAGATCACGAAGAAGCCAAAGAAGGTTCCCAGAGGTAAATAAGGTCTCCATTTGATTTTTCTCAACATAAAACCTATGGGCTTTCATCTTTATGAAAGCAGAAATCTCTGGCTTTTTTTATGAAAAAATAATGATGAGAAATTGATTGACTAATGTTGTGTTTAATAGGAGATATTACTGGAATTAGCGTGTTGAAAGCCCAGGTTAATTACAATTATGGAGATTTGAAGTCTGCAACAAAAAATTTCAGCATAAACTTGAACAGAGCTTATATTGTTACTCATGCAATTGCTATTATATTTCTTAATAGCATTATGGTATATAGGATATTTTCAAATTAACAGCGTAACAAATCATCATTGATTCCTCTATTAACAAAAATGGATTCATGTGTCATAACTTTATTCAAGAACTTAATCAATATGTTGTGTGGGTAAATTTCCTATTGAAAGATTTTGTGAATAGATCACTTTGATGTTTGACCTTTTCTTTCTTCTCTGCTAGGAAAAAAATAAAGGTTCTCTTAATTGGAAGCAACGATACGATATAATTTTAGGAACAGCAAGAGGTTTGGTTTATTTACATGAAGAATTTCATGTTCGTATCATACATAGAGACATAAAGACTAACAACATCCTCTTGGATGATGATTTACAACCTAAAATTGCTGATTTTGGCTTAGCAAGACTCTTACCTGAGGACAAGACTCATCTTAACACAAGATTTGCGGGAACATTGTAAGTTGAAATAACTTCATTTATGTGATTTTCTTAAGTTCTATTGAAGTTCATGGATTCATCAAGGAAATGATAATATATATTAATTGGTTATTCTATTATAAAATCAAGGGAAAGGAACCCAGTTCTTATATCCTAAGTTCTTTTATACATGATTCCCCAACCGCAATGTTCCATTTACCCACAACCTCAGAAATGTAATATAGGAGAGGAAAACTTACAATTACCGACAATGTGGAAGAAGCTTAGTGAACCCGACGGAGATAAGTGTAGTAGTTATATATATTTTTTAATTTGCAGTAATGTGCACTGTGTCTACATTCATGTCTATTTTAGATTTCGCTGGTTCTTTTTTCCTACACATTTTCTTTGTTCCAAATACTTGCGTTTGTGTTTTTTGATGAGTCATTGTTATGATCTATTAGCAGCTGAAAAGTACTATTTATTTTTCAGAGGATATACAGCTCCAGAATATGCAATTCATGGACAACTATCAGAAAAGGTTGATGTATATAGCTATGGTGTTATAATTTTAGAAATTATTAGTGGTCAAAGAAACAATGAATTGAATGCCAATGGTGCTGCTGAAGGCGAATTCCTCCTTCAAAAAGTAAGTTCTCATGATTATTCAAAGCAGCATTTTTTTGTTGTTGAGAAAATCATAAGCAGGACTCTTTTTACAACTCATCTTAACTCTTTTCAGAGAGGCCTTTCTTTTCTAATTAGCGCATTACATTTGGTAATACATGTTTAAAAGAAATTAATTAGCCTGACTTTTTTTTCTAAAATGTTTTCTATGCTTCTTGATCCTTTTAACTTTTATCTCACTTGGCAGGCTTGGAACTTATACAAGAGAGGCATACATTTAGAACTGGTGGACGAGACCTTGGACGCTAATGATTATGATGCAGAAGAAGTGAAGAAAATCATAGAGATTGGTTTACTTTGCACACAAGCATCTGTAGATATAAGGCCAAAGATGTCTGAAGTAGTTGCATTGCTCCAACAAAAGGGTTTATCAGAGGATATGAGACCCACTATGCCTATTTTGATTGAAATTGGTTAAAGGTGCATGGAAACTAAGACACTTAGCTTTTAACCTCTGGTACCTTCTCTACATATGAAGGTGTGGCTTCAAGTTTTGAACTCAAAAAAGGAAGGGAAAAAAAAAAAAAAAAAAGAAGGAGAAGTCTCGAAATGATTGTCCTTAATTCATTCCATTCTTGTGCGTAACTATATGTCAAACTTACATAAGTGTATGTGTATTGATAATTGCATTTAAATTTTGATATGCATACGTGTATACTCATAAAACCAATTATATTTTATATCTTATGTATATGATTTCACTTGATATAAATTAATTGTTGAACAATTAGTTAGTAAATTAGAAATTTTCTCTAATCTTCCCGTGGCAAGATATGAACTCTGATATTTGAGGCTTCTGCTGTGAAGCTCAACATTAACATATAAGAATGCTTGTATCTTGAAAAGTTATTGAAGAATTTGAGATTTCAATGACCTATGATATAACGAAAAGATCATGATAGTAATGTATTATAAGACCGATTATATGGATAGCATATAAAATACAACATGGTACGGTATATGTGGGATATAATGCTTTTAAGCTATGATATTTTACATCCTATCATTAATATAAGAATTAGATAAATAATTTGTAAATACTAAGAAAATTAGTTAAGTTAGTTATTTGTAATAAATGAATGTTATTTTTCTCTGAAATACTCTTATCATGAGCATTGGAACTACCTTTAATGAAAGCTTCTTAACATGTTGTAATCACCATAAAGATTAATTGAAGACAAAATGGATAATATTGGAAATCAAATAGATTGGGGTCTTATATATTTACGAGGAAATTAAATCTTCAGCTAGCTCTTATGTTGCAAGCTGGAGGTAGTATATTCATATAAAGCTATTCATATTGACTAGTGAGTGTTAGGTAGAATAATCTTTAGGAACGGCCGGTAGTTAATGAAAATATCATCCAAGGTTAAAAAAAAAAAATGGATTGGCAAGTTCAAAAAAAATCAGTCAATCGGTCAATCAGCCTATGGTCCGATCTAGTTTAGCTTCAAAACTTGCCCCTAATCAACCCAGAACAACCCAAGACGAACCAGAATAAACCGGACAAACCGCCAGCTTGGGTGGGTTGCCCTTTTTTTTCTTTTTTAATTTCCTTCTTGTCCTTGCTGTTCATCGAGAAGCGATGGAATGACTCGCTGTTTGCCGCAGACCATGAACACTACAGAGACAAGTGCTAGAAGCAAAGGAGATCATGGGAGGAAGACAAAACTTTGTTTGGAAATCTGTTGGGTGCCGCTTTGAAGCGTCAAAGTTGTTTTGCTCGTAGAGGATTAGAAGACAAGGAGAAAATAACAGATAGAAAAGTATGGAAGAAAGAAACTGATTTAATGCAAACGAAGAGATGGTGATGTGTGTTCAAGTAGATAATCTGCTACTGCCTCTGCTTGTTCATTGTCGAAGAAAGAAAGAGAAAAGAAAAAGGGGTGTTTGGGTATCATTGCAAACCATGGTTGGGGAAAGAGTGAGCCAAACAGGGAGAAATAATCTGAAACTATGGTTTGGGCCAAACCATGGGTTTGGAGTTCAAAACCATAGTTTCAGGAGAAGTGAATCCATTTGCTTCTGACTCAAATTGGAGAGTATGATTGTGCCTGTCAGAATAGATCAACAACAATACGACTTTAACACTCTCAATTATTTTTTTACAAACATATTTAATCTTATATCTTATAAATATATATAAACATATTAATTATTTATTAATTACATTATCTTATGTATTATTAATTATGTTGGTAAAAAATATATTATTAACAATTTTATTCCTTCAAATTAAAATATATTATAAAATCTATATTTATGTAATTATCATATTAACTTATGCTTTTTTTAGTAATTTGCATATATAAAAAGTGCTTCTGATAACAACTATCCAAACATTCTCACTTTATCAGATTCACTTTTTCACAAAATTTATTCTCTCAACAATCTATTCTCTAGAAGCTATTTTCCAAACCATAGTTTGGTTTCATCTAAACATAGCTGCTTCACGTCCTACAGAGTAAAATTTTCAGTTGTGTCACATGGGAGAGAGAGAAGAAACAGTAAAAAAACTAAAAGAAAAAGGAAAGATTTTTATTGGGTCACTGGTTATGTGAGGGGGGGAAAAAAGAAAAGAAAGGGAAAAAAAAGAAAAAAACTTCTTATATATAAATGATTCATAACACGACTACCCATTTAAAAATTAAATATTATTTTTTATAATTAAAATATGAATATTTTTTATCTATTTTAATTAAATTATATTATTTTAATTATCGTTTGACTATGATTTGACCTACTGACCTTTGAAATAAACTAGTATTGGACCGGTTCAGTATCCAGTTCAGTTTTTGTTCCTTGATATTATCCTACTAGCTGCATCATATCATGAAGTGTTGAAGCAAAAGCTAAAATGTAGAATGATTTATCCACGTGTAGATATTCAATGTAAATAAGATTACCAATTTGAGTACACATAATTCAAAGGCTTCCACAGTCACTTATTTATCTTGCACCATAGGCCAAGTGGCCATCATTGCATACAAACATTGCTAACTGTAAAGTTGACGTTTCATTGTAATCAAATCTTGCCTAATGGAATGAAGAAGAAGAACAACACTTATTTACTTTTGCATTGCCAATTGTGCGATCATGCGTGTGAAGTAAATCACCTTCCTGATAAAATGGAAGTAGAGATAACAGCATTTGATGAAGTATATTTTAATTATTACCAGTTTGACTTCGATTTGACTATGATTTGACCTACTGACCTTTAAACTAGTATTTGGACCGGTTCAGTATCCAGTTCAGTTTTTTGTTCCTTGATTATCCTACTAGCTGCATCATATCATGAAGTGTTGAAGCAAAAGCTAACATGTAGAATGATTTATCCACGTGTAGATATTCAATGTAAATAAGATTACCAATTTGAGTACACATAATTCAAAGGCTTCCACAGTCACTTATTTATCCTGCACCATAGGCCAAGTGGCCATCATTGCATACAAACATTGCTAACTGTAAAGTTGACGTTTCATTGTAATCAAATCTTGCCTAATGGAATGAAGAAGAAGAACAACACTTATTTACTTTTGCATTGCCAATTGTGCGATCATGCGTGTGAAGTAAATCACCTTCCTGATAAAATGGAAGTAGAGATAACAGCATTTGATGAAGATGAACTGTGAGTCATAGAAGCGTCTCTTTTGGGCCAAGAAGTAGGATCAACATAGACAGGCATAGTTGGCTCTTTGTGCTCCATTAAGCTCTTTCTTTTGAGCATTCTAACAATTTCAGACATTCTTGGCCTTGCTGCAGGAGATGCTTGTGTGCAAAGCAGCCCAATTTCTATTATTTTCTTTACTTCTTCCGCATCATACTCATTTGGGTCTAAGGTTTTATCCACAAACGATATATGCATTCCTCTCTCATATAGTTTCCAAGCCTGAGATCAAAGTGATCATATAATGAAAAAAAAAGAGTTAATTGTTTGAACACTATACCCAGCACTGGAAATTTGTTCAATGAAATGCAATCCATTGTTATGTTTACTACTAGGAAGTTACTTACTCTTTGGAGGAGGTATTCACTTTCATCATCAACCTTCAATGCACTACTTTTTTGTCCACTTATGATTTCTAAGACTACAACACCATAGCTATAAGTATCAACCTTTTCTGATAATTGCCCATGCATTGCATATTCAGGTGCCACATATCCCCTGAAAAAAAAAAAAAAAACATATCACTGATTGCATAATGAAAAGAATCTAAAGGCGTGATAACAATGTTTCATTTGATCATCAACACATGATTTCTTCTAATAATATATTGTCTTTGAGGTGATATTAATAAAAGTAAATAAATAGGATAAATTGTATGTGCATTCACTTACATTGTTCCAACAAAATTTGTGTTAAGATGAGATTGGTCTCTTGGAAGAAGCCTTGCTAGTCCGAAATCAGCAATTTTAGGTTGAAAATCATCATCCAAGAGGATGTTGCTAGCTTTTATATCTCTATGTATAACACAAACATGGAATTCCTCATGTAAATATGCCAAACCTCTTGCAGTGCCAAAAATTATTGCATAACGTTGCATCCAACTCAGAGAACCTTTAGTCTCACCTATTTTCATCACTTTAGAGAGTAAGAAATAAGGATAAAAGAATAGAAGAACCAAAGCTGATTCTCAAAACAATAGAAGATATTCAGTTAACTGATTAATTTTGTTTGTACCAAATAAGAATTGGCCAACATTGCTGTTTTTCATGTACTCATAAACAAGAAGTCTCTCTTGGCCTTTATTGCAACATCCCAGGAGTCGAACGATATTTCGATGATGAATATTACTTATCAACTTCACTTCACTCTCAAAATCTTTCTCCATCTCTTTGGATTGGCTTAAATGCAATTTCTTGATAGCAACTACCTTTCCATTTTTCAAAATACCCTGTTCAACAAAGACACCATACTTAAGAATGAAGAACATGCTTATAGAAAGTTTTATATATCTTCATTTAGAATTGAACGTGCAGATATTTAACAATAAATTAATTTTCAAATGAACTATACCCTTTTAGTGAAAGATCAACCTTTGCTTTTTTCATGAACCCGATCCACATATAAGAAGAGAAAAATATTAAAGAGCTAATGAAATCTTGGCATAGTGTGTGACAAACAATAGCAAGCCTATGTGTGTTCACTAAAAAAAAAAAATAGCACGGCTATGTGGAATGAAAATCTATGCAAATGCCTCAACGCAACAAGCCTAACAAATGTCTCTCGATAAATGACATCAACTGTAGGAATTAAAAGAAAAGTTTTATTAGGTTTACCTTGTATAAGCCGCCAAAGGCTTGTTCTCCTAGTTTATTTTTTTCACTGAAATTTTTTGTCGCTGACTTTAGATCTTTATACCTATAATTAACAGGGCCTTTTAACTCAGTCGCTCCCAAAATATCACCTGTAAGGAAGATAAAATTAAAGTAAAAAAATCTCTCACAACAAATAAAAAATCATATGCAGAGCAAATAATGCAAGGATAATCACATTAAATCATTTCAAATTGGATGATAAAGACCATTTTCAGTTATCTTACCTTTAGGAACCATCTTCGATGACTTTGATCGCATATACAAAGCAAATAATGCTATCATAATCAAAATAAAACATGTTCCTCCAGCGACTCCACCAATAATAATGGCCTTCTTCTTGCT